TAACCAAGTTAATTCCGTATGCGACTAACAGAGGGCGTTTCTCCTCATCTAAATATTTACTTAATTTCGAACTAGATGGCGTTTTAAAGTTTTGATATCTTTAAACAGAGAAATAAAAACCAATTTGTATTTATATTGGTCCTCTATGGGGTCTTTAACTACTGTATATAATGTGATATATCACATTATACCCAGTCTCTTATAAGGAAGGAAGGAAAGAATCCTATAAGATTCGTAGGGTTTTTGGTGGACAACAAAATCGGTACAGCAAGTTTTTGTCTGCATAATTACTTTAATTAAGGACTTTTGTTTTATTGATTTCTTTGATGGCCATTGAAGCTCTTTAGTTTGTTGTTAGGTAATAAATGAAAGGTGAAATAACTGTTCCAAAAAAAATCTCCAACATCTAAACGTAATATAATTTAAGGTATAGGTGGGCCAATTTTATTGATCATATTCTCACTATTCCCCTCTCGATAAAGGGTTATATCAGTGGGTACCTGTCTATGGAACACAAAATGAATCTACATTTTTTTGTCTTAAAACATTTTATTTTCACAATGAGACGAACGGTTACAGTGAGTCTCTTTTGTTTGCTATTTCTTTTTTTTAAGAAAATAAGTGGGATAACAATATACTTTTGCATGCATTTTCTGGCTTCGAAAACTTCGTAAATAGAGGATAAGGTTTTAACATTTCGTATTAGATTTTCAATAATATTGACAGTATTAAAAGGATATCTCTTTTACAAAGTCCTTTTCAAACGCTAACAATGTTAAGTATTACATTTGCAAAGATCGTTGCCACTAAAATTAATCATATCGAAATTCACCAGTTCTGATTCAAGGAACACAATAACCCGTTAAAGGCAACTTTAATATGCAGAGATATCCCGAACTAAAGCAGCCCGTCAGCAAAAGTACTTACGGCGAACAAGCTTATGTATGCCGATAACAACCTAAGTACCTACGTATATTGTCTCTATCTGCCCCGTAGGCAAATATACCCTCTCCGTATAACTAGAGAAATAAAAGCTACGGGCAAGATTCCTGAGGAACGTAAAAGTAATATTCGACCGTAACACATTGTGTTAGAATTGAATATTCCATGACTGGGAAATGCCGCATGGAGCGGGTAATGGGGGGAATTCAGGGTGGCATCATTGTATTGATCGGCGGCCATCTTTGATTCGCGCATGCGCCCTTGCGGATAACTCGCTTTAGTTATTTTGTAGCGCTAATTGCAGAGATGGCGCTGCTAATGATATTTGCAGTTGCTTTTTTGTTAATTACTTATTATTTTGTATAACTATCAAAATTAATTGTTTAATTAAACTACCTTTGCAGACGAGTAGACTGCTTGGTCACTACATTTCGATTTTGGATATTTTTTCTACATTATTACACTTGTATAATACAGGAGCAGTTTTAATATTTTATTTTACAAGCTATAATATTAGAATAAGAAGGTATTAGACTTTAGTATGATGGAAAATTTTAATATAGAGTTGGCGTATGAGATTTACCGCGAATTTCTACTGAAACATAAGTGAAAATGTATTATCTTGCATTTTATGTTTTTGTATGAATTGATGTTTCGCACCGGATGAGGAAAGAAATGAGTGGAATAGAATAATAATGTAAAAAACAAACACAATTTAAATCCATAAGGTAAATCAAAAGTGTAGCTTCACAACTATTCACAAATGTAAATAATACGTGGGTTCTTATTACGCTTTTTTAATACATTTTCAAAACCACATGTTATTTTCTTCCGTCGGCATTTTACCGACGGCACCGGTAAAGCTCCGACGTTGATTTTCCGCAGAATCAACCTACTACAGTTTTCTTAAAAAATCTGAGTTATTATAATAGCTAGCTTATTATTCGTTTATAGACAGTATTTGAATATTTTTTATCGATTGGCAACATTTTAACAAGGTGGTACTGATATTTATAATCAGATAGAGAGATAAATTAGATTTTAATACATTAAACCAATAATATTTTGTGATAGCATATTTTAAGTCTCACCTTTAATATCAAAGGAAAATTAATTCTATTCCTAATGTAGACAAGACATATTTTTTATTTTCCAGTCATTGGTAAAGCAAAAGCTATTTTTATTGTCAATATCTTGTTTTTGCTGACAGCTATTATAAAGTGCGAAGTTTATTATTTTTGATTTTTTGGATTGATATAATTACATACATGTCTTGAATAAATTTTATTTAATTTAAATTTAGTTACATGAGAAAAAAATATTTTAATTAATAAAACTGGTTTGTAACAAAAAAATTTAGTAAATATTATTTAAAAAAAAATCAAATGTTTATACATTCCAGTCTACCTTTTATTCAACATAACATTTTATACAAGTATGGTAATGTTTAGAAATCAAAATGGGATAAGTTTTACTAGCGTTATGAATAATACCCGGTGGAAGACACTCCGACATTTCCTTTGCCGATCCGTTTTGTTTTACATAAAATTACATCAAGCTCGTAAAACTATTTCGAATGTATTGTTAATATCTATGAATTTTTAGTACCCAAAATACTCGTACAAAACATATTGTTATCTTGGTTTTTAATTTAAATAAAAAAGATTGACAATGTTTTTGTAGTCGATCAATTACTAAAACTTTCATTACTTAAAATTTTTAACCTAAAAAGTTATCATGTATTATTTAATTAAGGATTAGTAATATTTATTTTAAAGACAATCTGAGGTCCAAAGATTTAATTGCTTGTAGATAGAGACGGTACTCTTGTACTGCATACTAAGTTCTTATACATACGAGTTACATAATGCCTAGGATATAATTTTTCAATGTAGTTAGTAAATGAAAATTTCAATGCGTTATAATGTAACAAAATTAAATGCCCGAGGACGTCGACCTACGTTGTAAAAATATCTTCGATGCAGTCAGCGCTGCGAGCGGCGCAGCAAGCAGCTCCTATAGCGTTTATTTTAGTTTTGTTTTTACTTCACAATATAATGGGAATAAAATGAATCCACAATCTTATTTCAAAATAATACAATAAGGCCTCTAAAATCCAGCATACGGTTTTAAAAACTTAAAACAAATTTAGTCAACAAAATTTAAACAAATTTAGTCGGGATTTGACTCTATTGAAATCATTTTAGTCTGCTCCGTAAATAAGAATTTATTTCTGTGACAATACGCAAAATGTGGATTCCCATGACTTCATTTTCTTCAGACGAGCATGGGACCGAGCATGCGGTTAGCGGTTGAATTTTATGTTTACTACGTCAAAATGAAAAGTAAAAAGTGAAGCAAAAATAATCGCGTTAGATTATTCTAATATATGTAAAACTAGTATCCTCTTCGCAGACGTATTAAAAATTAGAAGGAAGCTCCATGTTAAGAATTAAATTTGCTCTTGTAATGTGTAAATATTTCCAATTGATTCTAGAGCTTAGGAACCTAAGCTAGCGGAACTTGTAGGACCACCATTATGATTGTTAAAAATCCTAGAATAATTTCATAATTCAATTAGTTAAGGAGATATAGTACTAGTATATTTTAAAATAAGGCATCCAAGTCTTCAAAGTAAATGAATATTGTAGTATCGCGGTGCAGTGTTCCCGACGCGGCCGTATCTTTGTTCGGGTCACGTGCTTCGTGTAATAAAAGCCGTGGCTTCACAAACACGCTATCTAAGGAAAGTCACTTTCTTTATACTTTAATACTTTCTCGTTTTTATACATTTCTCCTTTTACGCTCCCTTCGGGGACGGGGACGTGATGTTGATATTATTTATAAAGAAAATTCTGGAATCTTACATTACTATGAGTCCTTGAACGTAGGGAATGGTTTATCCGTCAAAGATAAAGTTTATACTTACAACTTAAAGTAATGATTTGGATTAAATTAAAAGTAAAATTACGTACAGTTTAATCATATTTATTCTAGTAAAGAGAGTCTTTAATAAAAGATACAATGTGAAGCAAACCTTTCACATAAATATTTTCAGTCTATATTTTTACAAACATCGAAACTGTGTAACTCAGAAGTTAATTTCAATGAATGAAAAACTATGTAAATGTAAATCTTATCTCTTCAGGAATCAACGATAAAGCGATAAACAGAAATGAAATAAATTAAAATCCAATTAAAACTGATTAGATATAAAATCTAAATTTCGAATAGATGAAGCGTTGATAAAATACTTGAGCGCATTATATTTATCACAGCAGGAATTTATCTTATCTTTAAGCTTTATCTAAATTTAACCTGTCTATTATGAAAATCTATAAAAGATTTTAAATACATTATTACAAATAACATGTTTTGTATTAAATTTAGCTTCGACAAGAAAGACTTAATTAAAATAATCATTTTTTATTTGGATTTTGCTTAATGTAGTTTACATTTGGTTTTAGCATGTTAATCCTTAGTTTGCTATTACCCACTACAGGAGACTCAAAGAAGGAACCCTATTTTTAATTATTTTTTACAAGTTCCTTAACTTAAAAAACATTTTATTCATAAAAAAATCCAAAAACATATATCTTTATTTTCTATTCAAACTAAAGGTTAAAATCGATTGCAAATTTCCTATACGTATTAAAGGGGAAAATGTTAGGGTGTGTATCTTCATTTTATTCAAATGATGTTACAGTTTTACGAGATCGACGCGGTGGGTCGCCCATGCGGCGGTAATTAAAACCTTCCCGGAGTGACATTTACGCTGATGCGTGGATTCAGGCTTAATGAGCGAGGGCGGGAGCTTTGACCGAAACTTCGGGACCCCCTTAATTAACATTTTCCACGCAGCCTCTCGTCTCACTATGTACATAAAGATATATAACTCCAATCACCACTTAAATTCAGAGTAATTAAGTTGTATATCATATGAAATGTGAATAGGAATTTGATTCTCAGAAAACTATTTAAAGTGCGACTCTGAATCATTAATGTATTGAGGCTTTAGACTTCGTTTTAAGGACATAAATAAAATCAAATTATTATATCAAATTTAAACATTTATTTTTGGATAGGATTAAGATATAATTATAAAGCACACACATATCTTCTTCATAAGTTAAAGTTTAAAAAATACACTTCAGGAATAATTGTTGGCATTTACATGATATGTCTGTAACTCTTCACGACTGTTAGAAAATGAAACCATACTGAAACAGAGAATAAAATTAATTATTAAGATTAATAACGCATTGTACAATCGAGGAATCTGGCAGTGCCCCACGTTGAAAACTACAGTTGCTTGAATATCTTGTACACATTGAGTGGATGACGCGGAACAACCAATGGTCTGCAGCTTTTAAATAAGGATAGCCGAAAAAAGGCATTTGTTTTTGGCATTTTGTTTTTTATTGTTATTCCATAATTTACACAACTCACTGCTACTTAATTAGTTTTTTGTATGAAACTGTGAGTCTGATTGCAATGATAAGGAATTTTCCGAATGTGGAATACAGCGAAGAGCCCTAATTGTACTTGTTTCTAAAATTATTTAATATAGACAAAGGCACAGACATTTATGAATAATATATTTCACTTACTTATGAAACTGATAGCCTGATGCACTATACGTACGTCGAAAAAACTGCAGCAAGAAAATAATAAGCCCACGATAAGGGCAGTTATAATATATGCAACACGGACTGTCAGAGAAAATAATATCGCGAACATAAACCACGTTGCAGTTTCTTTTATACCCTAAAACAAAAAAATCTAATAACACAGTTACACTGTAAACATGACAATTTGATTCCATTAAGCGTAAAATCAATGAAAGCCAGCTTAAAACGCTGACATGATCGACAAATAACAAGAATAGCTAGTAATCTTGTTATAAAATACTTACCCGTACAACACCATACAGAAATATTATGCTTGTTGCCAACATAGCAATATTGGAGATAAAACACACAATAGTGATTATACTTTTGAGAAGAATTACGATACTGTTGGCACTGTCAGGGCATATTGGATACATTGTAACCATTCCGATGTCTGTGCAGTCAAGCTGTAACCAGATAACTAGTTGACATCACCAGCTAACAATACTTCTTTACTGAGGAATTCAGAGCCTATCCTAAGCTATACTAGTTAATGTTCAATATTAACAAGGAAGGATATTTGTACCCATAAAAAATAATATTACTATTTTTAATGGAAATGCGTTTTATAACTTTTTATTATAGGTTACGTTTCATCGGTGTTATTTTAATATCGTTTTTTAGTTAGAGTTTTTAATAGGTTAGTGCACTTATTGTAGTTAGTAAAAAAAAGAGAAAAGTGGGACGTGCATGGGGTGTATTGTAATGATAAAATTCTTCTTAAACCTAAACGATGTAAAGTTACTTACGATTCCATATATAGCTATTAATATACATCCTATTTTCAAATCAACACAAAAACAGCAGTATTTCACGGAGGAAATGTACGAAAAATCAGCCATTTCGATTTTAACTTTTAACTTATCGTAAACATACAATGACAGATATCAACGTAAAAAACAGACGTTTAAACAGAAGAAAAAAATACCACAGAAAACCTAAAAAGAATGTAGAATAATTTTAAATGAAAATATACGTATCTTTTACTTAAAAGTATTTAAAAATCTTACGTTTTAAATTTTTGATATCATTTCATTTATAAATTTCCTTTCTGTATGCATTTATCACTATTTCAAAGTAAAACCAACCTGAAAAAAACATTTAATGTAACAATATATATCTCTATTTTCATTAATTTAAAAGAAAGTTTATTACCTATACAGATAATAAATAGATTAGTTGTTGTGGCGATATTTGTGCACATAATTCTCTCCGATTGCACCACTACAAGTATTGTGTAGGGAACCAAGGATATAAGTGATGTTACCAAGAACAATTGAAACAGGATGACTGAAAGCGGATGTTTCTAGAATGTAAACAAATATATTAGGAATTTACATATAGACCACTTACCTGTGTAAATGTGAATGCTTAAGAGATATTTGACTTCTTATATTACAGAAGAATAATCAAATATTTCACGTCTGTCTCTGAAGTAGGAGTAGGACATTTTAGTAGACATAGATAGAAATCAAGGCTTTTTAATATAAAAGGCAAATCGGTTTGTTCAAACAATCTTGCATGTTAAATTATAAATGCAAAAGTTTAGATGTAAAGATGGGTGTTTCTTAGAGTTTGTACCCTAAACGCCTGAACAGATCTCGATGAAATTTAGCATAGATGTAGAGGATAATCTGGAAAAACACATAGGCTACTTTTTATCCCGGGAAAAGTTACGGTTCCCGTGGGATTCATTAATTTAGTTTATTAATGTTTATTCGATCATTCTGCAACAGTTCAACATATCTTATTGAAATATGGTACAGATATAAAACAAAGTCTAAAGTACACATGGAGTAAGGTTCATCCAAGAGAAACGTCCGGTCCCAGAGGGATACGTAGCTTTTTGTTAGCGAGCGAAAGATAGAAGCTTTCTAAAATCAAGTTAACTATCTTACTTAACTTAAAAGTACTCAAATCAATCTTTTATTAAAAATACTTTTTTCATCAGTTGATAATTGCTATAAAATTATACAAATAATAAAAAGTTACTTACAAAAAAGAAAATATTCAACATAAATATAAAGCAGCTTATCATTAGACCCAACACGAGTATGAAAAGAGAGGCTTTCATTATTTTCAAGGTCTCTGTGAGATTTGTATGTGGAGCGTATAAGTTTGAGCATGATGGGTTTGTAATCTCGTTTATTATCACTATACATGAAAGCTGAAAAAAAAAAACTATTATTGATTTCTTCCATTATGTCAAACTCACCCACAAACCAAATGTCTTCACAGTTAGGTTCATTATCATCAACTTCCTCCTTATCCAACTCCTGTAGTGTCGGCGCAAAAGGTTTTTGACTTCCAAATAACTCTATCATGTCACCTTTCACGCAATCTATCCATCTCTTTCTATCTCTATCTCTACCGGTGTACCCTTCCAATTAGGTTATCTGGACTAAAATACTTACCATTGTCAAAACAATAACTAAAAGTGCTGCAAGTTTCATATTTTGTCTACAACAACAACAAGATTTTATACCATACAGTATGTTTCCCATTATTGTAACTAAAATTGATAATTTCAACAATCCTAGTAAAATGAATAATCAATAAAAATACACTAAACTGATAAACATTGTTACAAAAGAATATACTTTTTTATGGTTAAAACATCTTTCAAACATATAATTTATCGTATATTATATCGAAATAATATTTCAAAGTGACATTTGACAGGTGTATGTTGACGTGTGATAACGATGCGTTCACAATAATTATAATCTGAACGAGAAACATCGTATACGCTACATACTCAACTCTTTTAAGGTAATGTCCCCACTGATATTGGCTTAATTAGTTTTTGTAAAATATAAATATGTAGATAGAATTTCTAAAATTATCAATTGAGTTTCTCTTACTTAAAAATAAACGATGAAAACTCGAATTTGGGAGTTATTAATAGTTTTAAATAAAAGCCAACGACCCTATTAAAATACTTTATTTATAAGTCAACATATCAGCAACATACAAAACAGAATCCAATAGTACATTTTAATTACAATAAAAACAACGTATACGAAAATGTTATTAAGCATAATATCTTTATGGACTACAATAAAACCTGTAAAACACTAATAAATAGCATTAAGTCATCTGATCTAGTGTCCAGATCAATAGTGTTTAATGATATGCAGGAGTCTTAAAAAGATAAATATAAACACCAGTAGGTTTAAGAGTACTTTTTAATACAAAACATTTAACTGTACAGTTAAAAAATTAGATACAGCCTTAACTCTGACAAAGAGTAGAAAGTGTTTAATACATAGATCAGGTCACGTTTTGTACATTTTCTACTATTTCAATGTTCTTAAAAATATTTCAATTTTCAGTTTGGTTGTTTTTTCTCAAACGATAGTATCACTACTATAAAATAAGACCACACTGAAAAAAGCAGAGTTAAACACTTAAAAAATCTTTATTGGTAAAAAAACCTACTTAACTTATCATAAATAAACTTACCGATTGTATCGATTATTGTGAAAACGAACTCCAAAATAGGAAAGCCGGTCCCGACGGAAATACACACGTATATGTAAAACATTCCATAGAGAAATGCTAGCACCGTTGTTGCAATTGTAGTATAAATAAACCATTTTAATGTTCGCTTATTCATTTGCTGAAAAAAAAACAATGTTTCAATATTTGTAAATTAATAACTTGTTCCAATAAATCCAATTCACATTAATAATGTGACACTATTTAATGACATAGAATAAAAATTACCCGAAATATTTTAATGAGAAAAACAATACAGGTTATCAAAAAGACCAGATCACACATAAATACAATCAAACCAAAGTATTTCAATGTTTGAACGAGACCGGGATTGTAAGGCTTTGTTGAGTTCGGACTAAGTGCGGTAAAACTGCGTAAATAGGTTGTGTTCATATTAAAGATTGATCTCTCTAGACCTGCGTTTGGACTCAAACCAAAACTAAGCTGAAACAAAAAAAAATCAATTTAAATAATACAATTTATTTTGCTTAATCTTTCTTATTACATTTTTTAAAGTACTTAAAAAAATAACGTGAACAAGATAAAAAAAAGAATTATCAAAATCCGTCGACTAGCGGCTGAGTTATGCCGTAAAACGCATAAAAAAACGTACAGACGAATTGGTACCTCCTTCTTTTGGGAAGTCGGTCAAAAAGAAAGCTTTATTACTAAGTGAGTAATCGTATAAGCTTTGATTTATCATTACGCACCGAAGACGTCGGGAGAATTTATAAAGTACAGCTTATCTAATTCGACTGGAGGTATGAGGATAACTTACAACATAATGAAAGTTAATATCGACTACATCAGGTTTCTGTGAGCAGGTGGTCATCACACATGTCATACGGATAAGGTAAGTGTGTCGCACAAGCGCCCATGTTACAGCGGGACATGTCACCTAGGAAATAATATCATGTTTAAAGTATTTTACAGTAAATAGTTGAGTAAAACAGTCACGTATAAATTTGTACACAATTCAAATTAAAATGTAAACGACAGACTTCTTTTAATCTTATTCGACTTGAACTTGTGTGAAAATGAGAATGAAAATTTAGAAAGTTATATATTCATAAATTACTAGCTTTCGCCTATGTGTTCCCCAAACCTCTTAGGTCATCTACATCTATGCCGAATTTCTTTGAGGTTTATCCAGCACTTCGGGCTACAAACTCTAACAAATATCCACCCATATAAACGTTCGCATTTATTCATTTAGTAAGAAGTAAGATTGCTACAATTTTTATTCCTGTGCGTCTTGACAGAAACATGGATCTAAAAATTCCATTTCCTGTACTGTAGTGAATATATTTTGTTGTGTATGGATAATAATAAGTATTCTTTTTATATTTACAATTCCAAGAACTGCAATAATGATGACTGCGCTTCTCAAATTTGGTACACAGATACAGAATGATGTAACCACTGGGATTCTGCTATTCGTTTCGGTCATAATTTAAATTCATAAAAATTGTGGTAAAAATTCGATCCAATCCATGTCATTCTGACATTATGTCATAGATAAAGTTAGGAAGTTTCTTCTTGGTTTCTTCTACAGATTAATAATAACATAACAATAACACACTTTTTAAAAGCCTATGTACTCTTCCAGGCTATCTATGTCTATACCAAAGCCGTTCAGCCATTTGGGTACAAACTCTAGTAAACATCCATCCATTCATCTAAACTTTCGCATTTATAATATTAGTATGATTACTATTTTCATGTAAATCCTTCTGTTATTTTTAAAAGTCGTATCTATTTATTTTATTGCAATATTTTTTCAATATATTCATAGAAAAAGAATGGTAGGCGTAAACAAAATAGTAATTTAACTTAGGATTCCATCGTAATACTGGGCTTAGTTTAAGCGCCGAAAACCGGGGATTTGAGCATTATTGCGTACTGCGCGGGACTTGGGCGGGGCAGGGAGTGCGGGGCCGGGGAGAGGGACTCTTAACAAGATTACACTGAGATAAAAGTGCCTGGGTAATGGCGCCAGAGTAAGCCAGCCCCGGGCTGCGCTCTAAAACAAAATTAAAATTGGAAAGCTCTGGTTTTTGGACAATGTCGGGTTTGAATTGAATGTTTTAAAAGATATAAGTTTTGTCGACTAGGCAAGGTTCTGTGTTATTCTAAAAAGTACAGTATCTTGGGTTATTATAAAAAGAAAACTAAAATTCGAACTTCGACAAAAACGTATTTGAATAAAACTGCTTATACTCACAAATGCGCGAATAATTTATTAACCAAGAAAAAAATAACTTAAAAAAGAGATTGTATCGATCGATATGGGCGGGCAGGGCTTGTTTCAAATTCAATTCGCAGAGTGGGAGGAACAATAAAACTTGATCCACCGGTATATCTCCGCTCCGCATCACCTGCGGCCCTCTACGTGGAGCGAATGCTTAAATTCTTGTATTAGCAAGTATATAACGCAGCTGTACCGTATACTATTTACTTGCAAGCACCCTTTAAAAATGTACCTATATTCTTCATACTATAAAGCATATATGTAGAAAACCAATGTACCATGTATCTTTTTTTTTAGATAATATATTAACGATTAAATTGAGTTACTTTTACTAGTGTCCTTGATTTTATTATTAAAAGTTCACAAGTTAACAAGTTCACTGAAAGTTCTTAAATTTTAATATTCTTTTAGTTAATTTCTATTCTGTAAATACCTTTAAATTAAATGTACGACACATTATATCAAATATGTCTATAAATTGAACCTCAACTTCTCTTATCAGAAGAAACGAAATGTCATTTTTCTTGTCCATGGGATAAAGTAAGACACGTCAATATGTATTTCCACGAGTAATTCCAGGAACACCCGCGCTCCGGCAACGTGTCTACTGAGAAACGTCAAAATATTTCACACAGAGACCTTTGTAAACATAGGAGGCGGCCGCAACAATGATATATCTCTATTTTTTACGTCAACTCTCGTGACACATGGCAAAAACGCGCCCAGGTCCAACTCACGAATCCGCAATATAGGCCCCGCGATAAATCTTCAAAGATTCCACTTTTATTTATTAAGTTGTGTTCTGTTTTTACGACGCACCGCCGCGGGGG